GCAATACCAAGACCAAGAACAGGACCAGGTGTATTGGCGCAAGACCAAGACCAAGACTGGCTAAGTCTCGTCTTGTTCTTGCATTTGGGCAACACTACACCTAATATTAAACAGATTTCACGTCTCCATTTTTTTAGGATAGGGTGACAAACGAGCACACAGTCCACCTGACGGTAAGTGGTTGCTGTGACCCATAGACGTCTACATTTATCTTCGTTTACGAATCAAAATGCAGATTCGTAGTCACCCGTGAGAACTAAGATGGAATGTCTCGTTTCCAGTAAAAAGATCTCAGGTTCTCTACTCTCAGCATACGAAACGTATTCTGTGAAAGCGTGGTCCTTCCCCGGTTGAGCCGACCCATTCGAGCTACAACTATACTACTAATATAACTGCAGCATGGCTTTACCAAGTCTTGAGATAATTACGCGTTAATAAGTGACTTTCAAAGCATTTTTATTCCTCAGATGTGCAGGTTTCCTCACGATGTTTTCCTGCACCGCAGAGAATGTGGTAAATCATCGCATAAAATTGCACTTAACAATTTCATTGTTGCCGGCAGAGATCGCACCCAGGTCGCTCGTGTACTGTAAAGATGACACTGAACTAAGGCTCTTAAGTTAAATATACCACATATGTAATTACTGTGTGCGATTAGGAGCCGTTACACGACGTGAATTATAATTATATAAACGTTATTTAACCGTTTTATATTCCGCTTAATGGATAGATAGAATTTTTTTCGCATTTTTATGCCACTCTACGTGGTGGAGCCACGCTATATATACGCTGGTATATTATGGTTGTAGCACGAATGGGTCAGCTCGACCGGGGAAGGACCACGCTCTCACAGAAAACCACGTGAAATGGCATGTAATGATTGTAAACTGTTATTGTCCTTAAATATCCCGCTGGGTATTATATATATATATATATATATATATATATATATATATATATATTTAAGAGATACTCTGTGGCAACCCAAGTGACAAGTTGTAAAATAATAGCTCCCAACAATTTAGCAAAATTAAATATTGTAATTTGATAATATCGACCTCAATTTTTAGTTACAGTTGTTAAATAATACTTAATTATGTTGGTAAAATAAGTAAAAGGCATAAGTATTTTAATTAAATAGTGTTTTGCGTTTCAACTAAAAGTGACAGCTGTAACGAACATCGTTTGAACTTTCTGTAAGTTATTGTTATTTTCTTGTTATCCCTTTAATATTTTAAGATTTACCTTTTAAATTAGTACAGTTTCGGATTTCAATTTGAATTATTTACCTGATAATTTAATTTGAGATCTGTAAGTAGACCCATAGATCTAGATGTTAGCTTACTCTGTTTCTTCGGTTTTCTTTCTTTGTTTTCTTTTGCTATTTACACATAATAGCAAAATGAATACACGCAACGCTAAAACGCGCCAAATGGAGAACCAACTTCAAATGGCGCTTCTAGAACTTAAGGCGTCAAAAGAGCAGTGTGAGCTGTTGCTTAAAGAAAGGGATGACAACGAATAAATATAATTGCCAAAAATAGTCAACTAAAAAGTGATATGGTTAAGTTGCATAAAGACTACACAAATGTTTTAAAAGAAAGGGATCAGCTTCAGGGAACAGTCGATGAGTTTGACCGATGCAGCAAAGAATATGAGGACTCCCTCAGATTAATTGCTGCATTGCAGTTGCAGTGAAGTGAGGCTAATGAGCAGATTTTGCAATTAAAACAATACTTAGATGAATTGAAAGTGGCCCAAACTCAAAGTCTGTTCAATGAGCTCATAGAATGTAAATCTTCAAAAACATTGCATCCCTCCACAACAATCGATTTGACTGGTGATGATTTTGTCACATCTAGAACAGCGGCAAGGATTACATGCAGTAGAAGAAAATTAAAGAAATACATAAAAAATAATAAATATGTTAGGAAAGTACAAAAGTTAATTAAAACAAAAAATAATACAAAAAAATATATAAATATATGTAAGGAAAAGCATGTATTAATTAATAAACTTAAATTATATGCAATTGAGGTGGAAAATATGAAAAACTAAAAAATATGAGACTGAAATAGAGTGTCTCAATTCAGAAGTTTTGTCGCTTAAAAACTCCTTACAAATTATCTCAAATAAATATGCATCGGCTCAGGTTGAGATAAAAGAACACATATTGGCCATGAATGATCTGGTAGTCATGTAAATATATATATATATATATATATATATATATATATATATATATATATATATATATATATATATTACGAATTTTACTGCGCCATTTTCTCACGCTGATAGAAAAACAACTGGAAACTTTTGTAAATTTCTAAATGTATCTTAGTTTAGTAGGCTTGTGTTCTCTAAATATCAAACATTCCAAAGAATATGTAGAACAACCTATAAGGGAGGTCTATGTTTTTTTTAAATAGAATAATGGAGAAAAACGAGCAATCAGTCCAATTGATGGTAAGCGAAGTTATTTATGATATCTTTGATGGTTAGTGCATGCTGTGGCCATTAGACATCTACATCTATGACCATAGATCATAGACGAAAAGGATCACTTATATACTGAAAGTTAGGATGCAGTTAGAGACGGGTACGACCACAAAACAACCAGTCTCGATAACCAACAACTTATCTTTGTTCAAATGTTGGCTTTTTTAAATAGAATAAGGGTGACAAGCGAGCACACAATCCACCTGATGGTAAGTGGATGCTGTGAATCAAAACGTAGATGCGTTGTCACCCTTGAGGACTAAGGTGGAAATGGAATGCCTCGTTTCCAGTAAAAAAGAGTCTCCGGATCACTACACTCACCATACGAAACACATCTGTATTAAGCTGCTATTTAACGCTGGTATTCTGTGAGAGCGTGGTCCTTCCCCGGTCGAGCCGACCCATTCGTGCTACAATCATAATATAGCTCTGCAGCGTGGCTCCACCACGTAATTTTTATAGGTCGGCTTTATGTTAAATCGATTAGCAATGATGGATGTATAGTGAGATACACCAGGCACTGGACTGAGACATCACTGCAGAATGGGGCATCGGTTATTTTACTTGTGATACATATACATAGTAATAAATGATTACTGTTTATTAAAACGGGCGAAGTTTGTGCACTCGCTTAGCTTGTGCGCTAAATTCACACCGTTCAATAATCGACTACAGTCCTTTGTATCGTACATTATTATATAGTATAAGTGACTAAAATCCACTTTTTAAGAACAATTGTAGGTTCAAACTCCATCTACATTATCTACCACTTAATGTTTATTTCCTCAAATTCAAGGAAAACATTATTTGAAATTAAATTCAAACAAAAATGTACTTTCTGAAAATTCTAGATCTAAAATATCAACATCATGTCCGAATGAAGAGGTTTTTTTTTAGTAAATACAGATAATCAAAAAGTTTTAGTACAATAATTGCAACATAAGGTTTAATTAAACGGGACAAACGAACGAGGCTCGATTAATAGAGCTTTGTATGATCAAGATGTTAGCATAGATGTAAATTATTTATCAATACTGAATTCACAACGGTCTTATCTTTTTTTGCAATTGTAATGTGACAGTATATGGTGGTAATAGTAATTGTGTTTTTAATAACTGTACTTTAAAAAATACGGTTCAAGCTAAAATGCAGAAGAAATTTAAAAAGGCTTTTATGTCAAGTTTTTTTACTATATAATATTATATATGTTTTATTGTTCTTTCATTTTACAGCATATATTTATTGAAATATATACAATTTAGCAAGTATTAAAATTATAATAAAGAAAAAACTAAAATTAGAAACTTAAATTGACGACATATACTAGGTACTTCCCGTGGTATCGTGACAAGAACGCTGGCTGCGTTTGCTCGCTGATACATAGCTTTAGATTTAGAGCGAGAAAAGATACCGGACCTTTTATCACCAGCAACGACGACCAGTCGTGGATACAGTTCCTCTAGGAACTTCACCGCACGTGGACCCCACGGACCGATAGTCTCTACAGCAAATGGCACAAATATGTAGTCATATCATTTGCGACATGTGAAAAGTATGCATATTACAACTTCAATTATATATTATATAAAGTAAAAAATAAAGTAATATCGTAATATTTATTATATTTAATATAAATATTTAATAAATACTAATAATTAATGTGTTACTGCTAAGCACATAATTTCTTACATTCATCTAATTCTAATCTATTAAATAACATAATATAAACAACATTCTAAATTCTAAATCTAATACTAAAAACCTTAAAAATATATATTATAATAACTAAAATATATTATTAAAAAGGAGGTCCTTTAGGCAAGGTTCCGTAGATACTGGCAGCGTTTCCCCGTTGAATAGCTAGACTAATTCTTTGTCCGAGGTAGCTGCCAGCTCTTCGGTCTCCTGTGACGTCGATTAACCTTTTTGCTATTTCTTTAAAAAGGCTTATAGCGCTAGGACCCCACGGACCAAGGGTCTCGACACCGAAAGGGACAAAAATATAATCGGAGCCTAGACCCCTGTATTTGCATACTTTATTAGCTTTTTCAGTCGTTTCACAAGCCGCACCAGCTCTGTTGTTGATTTTGTTCTTTTGTGAAAAGTATTATACAATCTTATGTGACGCATTGCGTAGTTTTATCCCCATAAATAATAGGGTAAAACACCCAGTAGTCAGCCTTTTAGTGAGGACTAAAATTTGATTCAATTGTATTTTAAATATTGAACACTATGAACAAAAACAATCATTATTTTTAGAAAAGTTGTTTATTAAATTTACTAAAGAAATTAACAAAAAAAGTATATTTATAATAGAATTATATAAAAAATCAGTAGTAAACAAATTATGGCACTTTTCACCAGTAGTCAGCCTCATTTCTCCACAAGTCAGCCATGTCTTACCCTGTAGTCAGCCTCTCACTTATTCTTGCATATTTGACATAAAAATTCTTTATTATATATATTTTCATATATTTCCCCAGCGAATTCAGTACAGTTTAAATGATACCATGCAAGGCAATTGTCACATCCAATATTTTTAAGTCATTAATTTCTGTATCGCTAGTCAATTCTTCTTCACAGTTGTTGCATCTTATTCTGTTTATTGTACATGTATTTTTCTTCCTATTTTTCGTAGTCATAGCTTGTATTAATTGCTCTTCTTTGTATTGGTGGACTGGTCTTTTGACATTATGGAATTCTAAAACAATTCTAAAAAAATGATATTCACGCTAAAATAACCGTGCATAAATTCAACCCAAACTAAAAGGCTTTAAGGTACTATTTTATGCAACAAGACTAACGGCTGAGTACTGGATTTGTAGACCCATTGGTCGGCCCCTGATATGCAATTACATTCGTACGCGGCCGACTACTGGTAAAATACACTTTTCGTCTCATAAGAGTTAAACCGAAAGTAATGGGCAAAATCGGGACTATTCGCTTCGGCAATCTCAACCACATATAAGAAAATCATGAAAAAACCAGTAGTCAGCCACTTGAGGCTGAGTACTGGATCTACCCTAAAAATTCGAAACCCGGTAGTCGGCCACCTAAATTACAACATATCAAACAAATAAAATGCATTTAATAGTTAACTTTATGACAGAATAATCATTTTAGTGTAAAACAGTACAAGAATCTACCATAAATTACAGCAAATACACCCAAAAACTTAACGAATACTCGAGCGCGTTTCCTTAAGAAAAAAATTGCAAAAGCGATGCGTCTAGTCGTGTCTTTGACAGCAGTGTAAATTAACAAGTATAGCTCACCAACCTGATGAGCTATTGGTTCGTAGGTGTGCATATTAACCAATAAGGAGACATGGATTCAATTAAACGTTATTTTAAAGGTGTAGACAAATATCAGCACTATTTATAAGGAAATAATGTCTGTAAAGGCTGAGTACTGGCACAGGGCTGACTACCGGGTGTTTTACCCTACGCGCAGACCGCATAAAGTAACAACTTCACCATATAAATGTGCTAATTATTATGGTAAAAGAACGTTACAACATTTAGTAATAAAAATTTATAAGAATTTACCGCAAGAATGCCTTACGCATAAATCAAAACAACAGTTTAAAAAAAATTAAAAAACTTTATACTAATAAATAGTAAAAATGGAATGTATCATGACGATCCATTGTACAACATCATAGGTAAGCTGGAATAATTATGTATGCATATATTTATATGCATGTATGTATGTATATATGTGTATGCGTACATGCAACATTTATGCATATATGAAATTGAAATTGAAATGTATTTTGAAATTGAAATGTATTTATTTAACCAAAAAAAACATTACATAATTAAGCAATACACTGGTTTCTGCACTAAGCTCTAGGCTTGTATCGCAGGAACCAAGAACCTTGACTGACACCGTTTACACCGATAAATACATAGAACTCCGATTAAATTATAATAAAGCGAAAAATAAATCTTTTTTTTTCTCTTTTTTTTTCTTTTTTTTATATATATAAATTAATGCATGAAAAAAAAAAAAAGCTAATTTACTCTGGGAGTGCTTGTGTGCGTGCGAACGTGTGTGTGTGCGTGCGTGTGTGTGTGTGGTGTGTGTGTCTGTGTGAGTGTGTTTGTGTGTGGGGGGGGGATCGTGATTGCGCGTGTGTGTGAGTGAGTGTAAGTCTACGCGTGTGCATGTATAGGGTCAACTAAGAAAGGAAAGTAAGTTTTCCGTTTCCTGATAAGAAGCATGTAGCAGCCAGGTTGTTACTTTGTGTTTGACTTTACTCGTGGGCAAAGACCTCAAATCAGGGAAGAGACAGCAGAATTTGTTGTAAATGCTAGGCAGAAGAAATGGTGAGTGGCGTTTGATAAAGCTACTGTGTGAGTTGGGAATCGGCACTCGAAAGATCCGACGTTGGCACAGGCTAAGGTAATTCGGGGAATTTATTATTTTTCTGTGGGTTAGTATTACTGCCTTTAAAATGTAGATTTGGCGAACCCGTAGTACCTTACATTCCTTGTACAGTTCGTCAGTAGGAAATCTAAAGTTTTTAGACAGCATTACTTTTAGTACTGCTCGCTGGGCCCTCTCGACTTCAAGCATTTTTGATTTGATAGCTCCACCCCAAGCCAGCGTGCAGTAGTATAGAAGGGATTGGGTTAGTGCTTTGTAAACCATTTTCATTGTTTCTTTAGTAGCACAACGTCGTAAAGCTTTCATTATGTAAATGGTTTTCCTAACACTACCCGACAAGCGGCTTAGATGGTTTTTAAATGATAGCTTATCATCAATGATCACTCCTAGATACCTGATGTTATCTGTGTTGCTGATTATATTACATCCGCAAGAGGGTACTTCAGATACACAAGTGTGAATTACTAAGTTTACCAGCGAAAATGGTTTTGATGCGAGAGTTTTGTGAAAAGCTATGAACTTAGTTTTTTTATAGTTTAGAGTTAGTAAATTGGAACTTAACCATTTATTCAACACTACCATGCCTTTTTGAGCCGTCTCGAGTACGCTGTCCCAACTTAAATCATTAAATATAATGGCTGTATCATCCGCATAGCATATGACGTCTGCTCTTTGTATGGGTAATTCTAGGATGTCATTAATGTAAATGCAGAATAGGATTGGACCAAGAATACTTCCTTGAGGAACTCCAATACTGATTTTTAATTGCTTACTTGTATGTGAGCCCACTCTTATGCATTGACGCCGATTTAAGAAATAGCTACGAAACCAAGCCAACGCCACTCCTCTAATTCCTTTTGTTTCAAGCTTCCGCAGCAGAATAGGGACCGAGACGGTGTCGAAGGCCCTAGCAAGATCTAGGAAGATACCTAAACAGCTGCGTTTATTGTCCAAATGTCTAGACACAGTATCTGTCAGTAGAACTACCGCATCCTCCGTGGACTTACCCCTCCTGAAGCCAAATTGATTTACAGAGAGCAGATTATTATTTTCTATAAAGTTGGTGAGACGTTTGCTTACCATTTTTTCCAATAACTTGGAAAATATACTTAGCAAAGATATGGGCCTGTAATTACTAGGACAGTTTTTATCCCCATCTTTGTGTATTGGAGTAACAACTGCTAATTTCCAACAATTAGGAAAAACGCCACATAACAAGCTAAGATTAAATATGTGGGTAAGTGGATGCAGAACTATGTGTTTTATCTGTTTAATCAACCTTGGGGTGCAGCTGTCTATACCCGGTGCAGTATCGTTTTTTAGCTGGTCAATAAGCGTACCAACTTCATAAGGATCCGTTGGCTGCAGAAAGAGGGAGTCCTTGCAAAGCACTCTTGGTTTGTATTCTGCAGCTAACAGGTCTTCTTGGGTGTTTAATCTTCTGAGCGTGTCATCAGCCAGTTCTCTGCCAACTCTAGTGAAGTACTCGTTACAAGCGTTTAAAGAAGAATCAGGGTCTTTGTCTACGGACAACAATTCATTAGCCTCGGTAGTGTTGCGTGTGAGATTACATATATTTTTGAGCGTTTTCCACAACTTTTTTGGGTTATCTTTATTTTGCTGAATTTGATTATTCTCGTATTCGGTCTTTAATTTTCGTTGTAGCGCGTAAAGGAAGTTTCTGTATCGTTTATAAGTGATTTGGATAAATGTATTATCAGGGTTTCTCCTGGCTTCGAGATGCAGATTGTCACGGTGTTTTTGGCATCTCATTAAGCCTGGAGTTATCCATGGCTTTATAACTCGATCTGACCGTTTGGGCACCACATAACTTGTATTTTCGTTTATTGCCATTTCTAAGATTGTGTTAAAATTATCAGCTGCCTCGTTAGCATCTTCCATATTCATTATCAATGACCAATCAGTCGACTCAAGCTTGTCAACAATCCGATTAAAATCCATTTTGACCTTACCGTGGATTCGAGATGGGTGATTCACCTGGTTGATGGTAGTACCAAGTAAACAAATGTCATGATCAGTAAGATCTGCATGGCACACTATACCAACAGCAGAATCTGTACCCCTAACGAAGATGTGGTCCAGGCAGGCCGAGCCCCTGGTAGGCTCCGAGATAGCAGAGAGCAGTTGATGACTTGCTAACAAGCATAGATACTCGGAGCACTGATCATCAAGTGGGTCTCCGTTTATATTTATATTTAAGTCACCTGTCAACACCACGGCATGCTTGTTGTTAATTTCCGATAATGATTTATCGAGAAAGGCTATAAAGTTTTTCACATTATTAATAGAGGGAGACCTATATATCCCTAGAATAGTAATTTTATTATTTAAATTTAATTTTAGGCAATCGCACTGGTCACTTAACGGTTCTGAAGATATTACACTCCATGAATCTTTAACGTATGCGGTGACACCTCCACTTTTATTTAGGTTATTTTTTTGTGTAAAAGGAAATATATCCTGGGATTTGTGGAATCGTGGGGTTTACACCAAGCCAACACTCCGTTAGTATAACCACATCTGGATCAACATTAAGTCGGGCTAACGAAATCAAAAAACCGTCAAAATTGCGTTGGAGGCTCCTAATATTGACATTTAAAACTTTAAAGTCGACACCTAATAGCCTAGGTAATAAATTACGACATTGCTCTAGGCTCTCAATGGAATGACACTTTACTGTCAAAGTTTCGTCTATATCAACATGTAAGTCACACATTTTTTCGCTTAATAATAACAAATAATTCTACTAACTGCAAGAGTGATTTTGGACAGTAGTCATTAATTGAGAGCCAAAACAATCGGGACTGATGATTGTGTAGTGTGATGTTGGTGCGGTGCGTTTTGTGTCAGAAAGACATTGAGTTATATGTACAATGTACTAGTACATATAACTCAATGGTGAAAGTGTGTATGCATGTTCTAGTAATAGAAATTGTAATAAGTCTATTGTGTTTGATTACGGTAAATTTAACAAAAAAATAAAATATCACTTTTAGGAGAGTTCGCTTGCTTTTTCGGGGCCAATTTTGGTATCCAGGTCTTCGTAGGAAAGAATACGGATAGCTGGTTTGTTCTCTGCTTGTTTGATATAGATCCCTCCGTTACGTACCCAACAGAATTGGAAGCCCAGGTTCTTTTGCTCGCAGTCTTGAGTTTCGAAATAAATAGCGATTAGACTTGGTGAGCCGTTCGTTAATATATATATTCTGTGGTGAGCTATTTACAATGTTCTCAGATGACAAGCCTCGCCTGACCCTGGCTGCCGTTATAAGCTCATCCCTCTTTTTACGTCGCAGTAGTTTGACTATGATTGGGCGCGGGTGTTTGTAGTTGGGCATAGATGATTTTGAGCCTGAGGAACGTTTAGGGCCTACACGTACCACTTCATCCAGTTTATTTTCGGATAATTGTACTCCGAGCTTTTTGACAAGTAGCGAGAACGATATGCGTGAGATTTTCGTTGTTTTCTTCAGGCATACCAATAATCTCCAGTTCATTTCGCATCGAGTGTTGGTCTTGGACGGCGATTTGTTGCTGTAACTCATTAACTAATGATTTTAATGAACTGATTTCCAAGTCTTTGGACTCAAGTGCCTTCGATAATTCACCTAGCCTCTCTTCAAAGCATTTGGTAATGGCTGATGTTTGCAATTTCAGTTCTTGGCGTACTATGTCTTTAACTTCGTCCCTGAAGTCGCGAATTTCCGAAATTAATGTAGTTAAGTCGACGTCTTCGTTTGAAAGCAGCTCAGAGCTTTTCAATTTTTGTTTATTCCCTCTTGTGGTGTTGACATTGAGGCTCATTGTATATTCGTCATTCAGGGAAGCCGCTGGGGAACGCACTGGCGTTAACAGGTTACTTTTTTTTGGTAGGGAGCAAACACATGACGGGCAAATCCATTCATTTCTGTGCTTTTGCGATAGAGTGTTAAAGTGTTCCTCCGTAATATTAAGACACATTAAATCATATAGTTTATTACACTTGGAACATTTCATGAAGCCAAGATTGCGAATTTTGTTGTTACAACCGCTGCAAGTCGTAGACATTTTAAACGCAGGCCGCCAGTCAAGAGACAAAATAAATTTTAGATAAGTACGGTAGGCTTAGATAGTTTGAGCGAGTCGAAGTGCGTTAAACAGTGAGGGCGTAATGACTCACCTCACGGCCGATGCAGTCGGTGTACGGGTTGTCCTCGGTCAGTGCCGTTCCAGCCGATATAAATATTTAGAAATATTTTTGCTTTTAACCAGATGGACCGAAAAAATTTCGGGAACTAATTTTCACTACAATCTTTGTTCGTTTGTCTTCTTCAAATTAGTAGTAAGTTTGACGTTAAATAAGCACTTTGATTATGAGTATTCACTAAAAATTACGGAGCAAAGTATTACAGGTGTGTTCTCAAACGAGTACGTTGTACGTGTCCAAAAAAATGCCGTTATCCTTTAAATTACTGATTAATGTTATATTAATACTATTGGTTAGTGATATTAGTGGTAGTATATTTGTATTAAGCTATTTTTTTTTCTTTACTTTATTTTTTGCATGTTAGAAAGTAAGAGAGCATTTTTACTGCCAACCAACTACTGAGCAATTTGGCAGACTGTAAAACTGCAACTGTGTGATTTTTTATGTTAAATAAATAAATAAATAATAAAGAATAAATTATTTTCACAGTTAGATTGTTTTATTATGGAAATAAAATGCGCGTTACTATTCTATTAGAACAGAAATCAATTTCTCGTTATTTATGTTATAAGGGTGACAAACGAGCACACAGTCCACCTGATGGTAAGTGGTTGCTTCGGTCCATACACATCTTCATCATCATCATACAGCGTTGTCACCCGTGAGGTCTAAGATGGAGTTCTTCGTTTCCAGTAAAAAGGGTTTCCGTTGTTATCGGTTACGCTGATATTCTGTGAGAGCGTAGTCCTTCCCCGGTCGAGCCGACCCATTCGTGACAATTATACTACTTATATAGCTGTAACGTGGCTTTACCACGTAACCACGTTTGATTTATTTTAAAAATTATACAAAATGCAAAAACAATTTTTTTTATTTAGTGACCCCCTTCAATATTCGCAATATTTTTTCTCATATTTTATATTGCACGTATTTTCATTTATATATACACAAATTAATCATCATCATCATCATCATCATTACAGAGCCCGTCACAAGTCCACTGCTGGACATAGGCCTAGGACAAGGAATACCAAATTGATAGTCAAAAGGATAGTAGGTACCTCAGGTATTGTATGGGATGCTTATAAATATAATTTAAAAAATAAAAATTTTGGGGCAATTTCGCTATTAAAAGCTCTAGGTATAATACTTTATAAATTGTAACTTAATTGACACAAAATATTTCAATCTAGCCGTCAGGGGGCATAAGTACCACGCAGTAGTAAAACGGTAATAAAATTAAGAAGCATATAATATAATAATAAACTCAATGTTCACCCGGAAATGGCTCTATCGTCGAAGACCTTTTATGTTATTAAACGACGTTATAAAAACAAAGTTTTTTTTTTAAATGAAACAAAAGTGACTGGCCTCTCCGGTCACCGGTAGGTCAGTAGGCTGTTTAGAACGCAACTTCTAATTCGTTTCCGTTATTATGCGTGATTCACGCTGCGTGAGAGGATATTTGTGTTAAATGAACTTGTTAAGTATTTGGGGCGAAATCGTTAGGTTCCTTTTCCTTGTGTCATCAAGGTTTCTTTTTTTATTATTTTTTCCTGTCGCGATGCTATCTTTTGAGATTGGTCGACACCGTTTATTTACAACGTATTTTAAAATTTAAGTTCATAAGGTAACATGAAAAAATTTCAACATGAAAGGAAAATACTTTGAACACCGGCGTCAAATAGTAGCTTAATGCTGCTGTGTTTCGTATGGTGAGTGTAGAGAACCGGAGACCCTTTTTACTGGAAACGAGGCATTCCATCTTAGTCCTCACGGGTGACAACGCATCTGCATTTTGATTCGTAATCGAGGATAGGTGGCGGCGCTGTCGTCGCGCCACAAGCGAAACGCACCGAAGCCTAAATCGCGCTATCAAGCAACGAAATTCGTAAGAAAAAGCCACACAAAGGCCCCACAAAAAAAAAAAAAAAAGGAAAAAAGCAGACTAAAGCCCTATTTTTACCGACTTCAAAAAGGAGGAGGTATTCAATACGACTGTATGTTTTTTATGTGTGTTATCTCATAACTTTTCTCTAGATGAACCGATTTAGTTGATTCTTCTTTTATCTGAAAGCTGCTACTTCTCGTGTGTCCCTTATACTTTTCGAGTTATATTTAATAATCGGTATTTAATTGATTTCAATACATTGGTGTTCACTTGGAAGAGAAAGCCAAATTGGCCTCTAAAAAGCTTGGCGTGCTCAGCAGAGCGGGACAGTATTTCATGCTGGCACACCGCCTGCAACTTTACAAGGCGCAGGTTCGACCGCACATGGAATACTGTTCCCATCTCTGGGCTGGGGCTCCCCAGTGCCAGCTCCTTCCACTTGACCCCATCCAGCGCAGAGCGGCTCGAATCGTCGACGACCGAGTGCTTTCCGATCGGCTCGATTCACTGGCGCTGCGAAGAAATGTTGCATCTCTTTGCATTTTCTTTCGCGTATACCATGGGGAGTGCTCTGAGGAATTGTTCGCATTAATCTCAGCCGGCAAATTTCGTGAACGCACTACGCGGATACCATCCACACCATCTGGAGGCTTGGCGGTCTACTTTTTTATAACAAGCTTAAAGATCAAACTGACTGCCTTGTTAATCTAATAGTTGTGTAGTCCTGCTGATCAGAGTTCCTGGATTCGAATCCCGGGTCGGGCCGATAAATCAATATTGAGTTTTCCATCAAGAAATTCTCAGTAGCTGCCCGGAGTAAAGAAGTTGGCAGTGTCTTACCCCGGGCCTCGCAAAGCACGTAAA